TTTGACCAGCGTATCCGGTCCATACTCGGCCGAGTATTAGCAATACTCGACCGAGTACTACTGATCGAATTTCAAAATCTTCATTTGATCTTCTCCCCTTTGCACGTTCTTTGATCTTTATGATTCATCCTTTGATTCTTGGGATTATTTTGACATGTCCTAAGCTTAGAATAATCCTAATCTAAACAAATTACAAATAATAATGAAAATTAAGTATTACACCAAAAATGTGTAATTTCCACATGCAACTAAAACTAATAAAACTAGTTAAAATACAAACTTACATAATAGGAAATTCACACCATATTTACATATTGTGTCAACACCTATTCTAGTAACTAAAAACAATAGAGTATATAACACAACTCCATCATGAGCCATTATTAGTTGTTCAACATCTTAAGGTTGCCAAGAGAAATATTCAAGGTCTAAGCTCTCACAGGAAACATGAGTCGTCTATAGGAAAACCCTAGGCGGCGAACTCAGATCTAATCTTCTAACTTCTTCTCTCAGATTCGTAAGAGTTTTGATGATTGTGATGTTCTCAGGACAACAATGAATCAAATGTTTTTCTATGCTGTCTTTTTTCCCCTATCTTCTAGGGTCTAGTTTTGGTCCGACATCTTCTTTAATCGAGAGTTATGTCTGCTTCAGGTGAACGTGTGTTTTGTTCTTCTTCTAGCAATGTCGAGAGGTTATGTCTTCCTCGTCGGTTTAACCGACCAGATGATTCATTATTCATGGTCGGCAAAACAGGTTCAACCTAATTCTTCTGAAGCTTCAATTACTCCTCCTCCTCCTCCTCCTGAATCACTGCATCACTCGAAGAAAAAGATGTCGCTCACTGGATCTCCTTTTCAGTGGCTGGTCGAACTGATGATCCGGACAATTTTTGCTCAGTTCAGTTTTCTTTGCTGGTTGCTAGTCAAACAAATTCTCCCTTCCGTTGGCTGGTGAAGCCAAACTTTTTAGTTGTAATTTTTTATTTTCTCTTTGAAGTAGCAAGAAGGGCGACAAGACTGTTAAACTAGACTACATTATTGCAGAATTAGCAAGCTGAAAGAATCCATTTTCTTGCATTTTTGTTACATTTTAATAACAAATTAGTTATTTGATTTTCAAAAAAAAAACAATGGAGTATACAGGAATTTAGGATGTTTTTACTTGGACTGTAGTTTGTCCCACATCAGACCAGACTTGAGTGTTTATAAAAATTCAAAGAAATCAGACCAATCCAGATCAGTTCAGACCAGACCAGATCAGACCAGACCAGATCAGACCAACAAATTATAGTCTAACTAAAAACATACCCCCTCCGTTTTTATTTAATCTTCACACTTTGACTTCACACAAAATAAGGAAAGAAATTTGACTTTACTGTAGAGTACACTGTTGAGGCACTGTTTGACACTGTTTGGCACTGTTATACACTGTTTGGCACTGTTTTGATGTAGATTTCTTTGCCAAAAAGGTAAATAAGGAAGTGTGAAGTTTATTTTAGACCGTCCCAAAAAGGAAAGTGTGAAGTTTATTAAAAACTGGAGGGAATACTTTTTTTTTTGAAGAAACCTTACTATTATATTAATTTAAATCACTTTAAACCGAGTTTTTTCCCGGAATAATGCTAATTAAATAATTAATTCCCGAAATACTACCGGGTTAAGAATAATTCCCGAAATACTGCTGGGGTTAACCGTGGTTAAGGAAAGCCGCCACTCCAAGTGGCGGCTCTTGTACCGCTTCACAAAAGCCGCCACTTGGAGTGACGGCTCTTCTACTTATGTATGAAAGCCGCCACTCCAAGTGGCGGCTTTTGTGTTAACGAACCTGCTGCAACATTATTTACACAAGTTAACCTGTAATTACCAGATAATCTGCTCATCACAGACTCACAGTCCATTCCACTCAAAAAAACAACCAAACATATGATTTACTAAGACAAAATACACCCGAAACACAAAACGAATCAATGAAACTACATGACAACATACATCCAAGACACAAAACGAATCAATGAAACTACATATTATGAAACTTTCACAAACCGAATCAATGCACCACAAAATTGAGTATAAACCATAAAAGTTATAATAAATCTGGTATTTCACAAAATGATTCGATCTGCCAGTGCATGCTACAACTTTCACACAATAATTTAAATACAAAGATCATAAGTCAACGTGATCATCATCATCATGAAGTTCATGTAGCTGTGCTCGGGGACGCCTGCGCTGGTTACGAGGCTGAAGAACAACTCTATCACGTCGGACTGCCTGAGAAGACCCTGCTGCGGATGTAGATGCGGTGGAATGCTGAGAGGTGGCCATATATCCATAATCCACTCGACCCAATACATCAACGCACAGTGAAACAATGCCTGAACAAGCGTCATGGTATCCCTGTACATCTACCGCCTCATCAAGTATAGCAGTCGCTCTGTCATGGATGCTACGTAAAGCCCGTGTCTGTAATGCAAACATGGTTATTAATGAAAAACACATGAATAAATAAATAAATAAATAAATAAAGATATTTCATTGACTATATTGTTTACCTTCATATGAAGAGCGACTGAGCTAGGCTGGTAATGATGGGTAAACGAAAACTGGGAGAGATAAACACCCGTGTGATGGTGTAATACCATCTCATGTAGTCTACAGAAGCTGTGGGGACTAATGATGGGATCTCGTCCACTATATACGCCGCTCTCTCATCCCACATAGTGATATACTGAATATGGCGCATCCCCCAATCTTCAGTGTGCTTCCCCCGTCTATCAATCTTGTGCAAATCCACAGATGTATCACAAGGCCCGGGAGTAACCTGCTGCAACCCGAACTGGCGTAGTACGCGATCAGGAAAGTGATGCCCCACTACATCAAAACATATCAAGGGCACACGTGCTCGCCATATCTTAGTGTGCTCTCGGGCAACAGGAGGCAACAGCCCTAGAATCTCATCAGTGTACGACATCCACGTCATCTATAATATAAAATTATGTTAGACCATGGGTTATAAAAACATAAAACAAAGTACTTACATTTCTCTACAAACTTATAAAGGTGAATGAAGGTTAGGGCTATTTAGGAAAGTAAAATGTGTTGGTGTAACATAATGCAATACTTAGTTGTACTCTATGCTATCTATGTTGCCCATTAAAGTCAAAACCTTTTGTTGCTATAGTTTCCGTTTGATCTCCGTTACATGCATCTCATTTAAGCCTATAAATGAGGCAATTCCTCATAAGTCATACTCGGAGTCCCACGTACTACGTAATTGCTATTGCCATTATAGGAAATGAGCTTTAATCACTTAGTAGTTGATGGATAGTGTACCCGGGGGTAGCTTATCCAGGGGGTTATTGCGGGGAATAACTAGAGAGAAGTCAGAGCAAGCAAGTAAGAGAGAGAGAGAGAGTCGAGTGTATCAAATGAACTCGAGATGTTTGGATCGTTTACAAGGGGAAAAGGGCAGCTATTTATAGCAGCCATAAATGCTAAGCGCGTACATGTGTCAATCATATGACGGCCGAGGGTCACCTCAATCGGGGTGGCACCGGAAATTGCATGTGCACCGCATTAAATGCGGTGGTTGGACGTGACACCGCATTGAATGCGGGGGTTGCTTGTCTTTGGAGGAGGAAGCTTCGTAGGGCATAGACCCTTCGGTCTGTCTCGCATGGCTGAAGGCTACCCATGTGCCGAGGGCACCCCCGAGCTGAAGGCTTCTGTTTTCTGTCATTTTCTCCCAGTAGCTTCGCATGCTTAAAAATAGCAGTGTTCTGGAGTTTGGAGCCCTCGGCCATGAGGCCGAAGGAACCTACATGTGCACTGTGGGCTTTTTCATACTTGGGCCGCTATGTTTGGGCTTTGTGTGCTCATTGGGCTTGATGAGCCTGTGTAGGAGAAATATGAGTCTGTGAACCGGAGGTCCCTGGGCCATATACTCCATCAGTAGTACTCCGTATAATTATAATTTTAGTGAACTGAGTTTATTTTTTAGTTTGATAAATTGTTTAATTGGACATGGAATGCCAAGATTGCAAAATTCATGTCTAATTTCCAGCCTTCTACTTAAAAAATGAGTTTTTTTCTCTTACAAAAAAAAGATTTTTTAAAAATGATTTTTGAAAAAGTGTTTAATAATAAAAGTTTGCAGTGTTTGAAGAAAACTGCTTTTGAACAGGTAAATGTTGGTAGTGATTGGAAAAGAATTCTGTTTAATAGAAAAAGTGATTTAAAGCCAAAAGTTGATTTTTTTTAATTATTGAAAACACTCCATAAGTTGCAATAACCTTTTAAAGATATTTAAGTTGGGCATACTATTATCGCCTCTCATGTGTTTTCTTGCTAATAAGCATAAAAGACTGGTGACCATGCATATGTATACGAAATCAGTTTATGTTATACTCCGTATTTAAGTTTGGTAACACTGAAATCGGCCGATTCTGCCAAAATTTATGAAGTTCTGGCTGAAGTGGTTGTATTGGCTAATTCTACTAATTTATGAAAAAGTATTTAAAATATATTTTTTAATAAAATAAATAAAAAATTATACTCCGTATGAAAAATAGCTAAATGATCTTGTACAATAACTTCAGCCAATACAGCCGGAAAAGTAATTCCAACCTTACTTTTTATTAGGATGTTTTTACTTGGACTACAATTTTCCGGTTTGGTTTCTTTGTATTTTTATAACTATCCAAGTCTGGTCTGGTCTGATCTGGGCTGGGATAGATTACAATCCAAGTAAAAACATCCTTATTATTACATAATTCAGCACGAGAAACAAAAAATTATGTGGTTGGTGAAAAGTTAGATGATAAGTCGGAAAACGGGCTCACCAAACGGGCTCTAAATTAAAAATGTATTTTTTAAATCATGAAGCTCATGATTTGTGATTTTATTGTATGTTAATTTAATTGGAAAAGATCAATTTTTATCTCAAGCACTCTTAATGTATGTAATTTGTAAATTTAATTTGCTTAGGCGAGTGTTTTATTTTTTTGTTAAAATTAAACCTTTTCAATTCATTGTGTAATTTAGATCGCGTGTATGTATTTGCTACTCACAAATGTATTTTTCCCTATTGAATTTATGTTTTAAATCATTTTGATTGAAGATTAAAACTTCTTTAAAATGTGATTTTATCTATATGATTTTGTAAGCATTAGTGAATTTAGAAGAAAATATTACATAAAAACAATGATAGTGCTATTAAGTCATACAAAGTATTATTATTGGGCATCTTTCTATCGCGCAACGCGCGTAACACAACTAGTAATGATATAAATGATATACCTGATCATCACACAAGCGATCTAAAGCATCTCGGTAGTATCCTAATCCAGCAACGGATGACGTGCGCGTGACATGAGCAAATAGCCATCTGACACATTGTAATGTATAAGAATATAAAAGGGATTCACGTACGTCATACAAAAAAAATCATAAACATACCTACGACCCAAAGGATCCTCGCCACGAACATGATGTGGCCCAAGTACAGCGTGCTGATCCATATCATCATCAAGAGGACCACCATCTACCCCATGATATCGCAGTATGACAGGTCTGCCGATATGAATGTGCTCCCATGACCATAGCTGTATGAGCAATAAAAACTCACCCATCTCTCCACCGTCACGATGGCAACCTCGACATAACTGCCGTTATAGGTATGCTAAAGTCGCACTACCCCAGCTATAAACTGCAGCTACATCAAAAGACTCTAGAATGGGTAAATACAAGACCTGCACCTCATTCCTGCTCTTGTCCGCAAACGTGGAAGCTCCCATAAGCATCAGAATGTAGGCTCTCACGTACTACTGCACAACATCGTCATCAGCATCAGCAGGTAAACCAACAAAATGCTCTCTCAACCAAGCCATCCTCAAGGCGGACCCCCGAATATCTGTCCCAGGGTGTGGCCGTACTCCCAACAATCTGTGTACCAAATCAACCCACAGTCTACATGCAGTCCCAGTAACTGCCCGACCCTCGATCGGTAGACCTGCCAATACAGCCACATCTCCTAATGTGATCGTGACCTCACCCACCGGTAAATGGAACGTGTGAGTCTCCTGCCTCCAACGCTCAAGTAGAGCGATAAGTAATGCTCTATCTATATGCAGAGTCGAAACTAATCTGTGAACACCATAAAACCCAGCTAATCGAACGTAATGTAGAATCCTGTCGTCCACCCCCGTGTGGAATATACTGCGTAGGTGCTCACGACACCTATCTACCTGAACATCCAGGCCACGCCACACATCCTCGCTCCGGTGCGTGGCCTGCAATGTCAGGACTGAAGGATCAATCGGTCCGGGATCCACTGACACCTGCATCGGCGCTGTAAAAGTAATAAGTGTATTAGTTATTTTATTTTATTATTAGATTAAAATTATTTATTTTTTTATATTGCTAATGCATTTGCGAAGAAAACAAAAACATTACCCAGTGGAACTCCCTACGTGTCCCTCTGATCTTCTAGCACATATCGTCCTGTTATGCCCTGTTTGCTTGCATTTACCGCATCTCACAGTACCTTTAGGGCCTTCATCCATTTCATTTCTCAATCGTTTAGCCTTCGGACGACCTTTAGCGCGAATCATCGACGGGTCATGCACAACTCGTGGTCCAGTGTAAGTAGGTCGATATGCTATATCTGGTATGGGCTTAAATACTCTTTTATAGGAAGCCGCATACTCCGATGAAGAAAAAAATTTATCAACAAAAGCATCATAGGACAAACTATGGTGTCTGCATACCGCTAATATATGTGAGCAAGGAATCTTATAGATATTCAGCTTCTGACATGTGCAATGGCGACAGTGCAAATTCACCGTTTGTTTTCTGCCACCCTTCCCCACGGTTCGACCACCACGACCCGTCTCCACTTGGTATAAACCATGGCCTATGTCAAATATTGTGACCTTGTGATGCTTTGCCTTTTCCGTATTTTTCTCTATCAGTTCGGTCATTTGCTGGCAGTAGCGATGCCCTTCTGCTAATCTTCTCTTACTAGTTTCTCTTCTTTCCACAAAATAGGCATTCACACGATAAAATGATAACTCAACTAAGGCGGTTACAGGCAGGTATCGTGCACTCTTCATGACACTATTGAAAACTTCAGCCATGTTCGTTGTTCTGGTGCCATACCTATACCCCCCTTCGTGGTGTAAAGAACTTATGATAGTGGTCACTAGGTCAGTAGCAATATGTGACACGTTATAGACAACTATATGGCAAAGCATTCATAGGCTCATAGCTCGTTTTCTCATTTTTCTCTGCAACATGTTTGATAATATGCATGAGTGGCAGAGCATTTAAAAATTTCACATTTTACAGAAACTGAGAAACAAAATTCATTTGTAAGACATCCACCACATTCTTCAAAGCCCTAACAATTTTTTTATATATAAAATTTATCCAGTTGTAGGATCACTTTTTCTAAGTGATTACCGGGAAGCTGCTACAATTGTATTCCTATTCACCATATCAGAATGGCTGCAGTCCTGCGCACTTCACCAGGTTTGCTTACTTGTAACTCCAAAACTTGGTCATTAGAAAACTCTGTAGTAAGTGTAGTAAGGAAAAAAGGTCAAATAAGCTCTTGGTAAGTGTAGTACTTTTGTAAAACCGTCATCTAAGCTCATATACTAAAAGGTGATCTTGAACCAACAACCTTTGACTTGGTGATCTTGTGTTATATGCTGGTCAAGTATCTAGAGGATCCTTTTGCAAACAGTTCTGAGCTTTTAAGAGGTTGTTTGGTTTGAGGGTAAGGGAGAGGGAGCTCCTCTGATTTTGGAAGAAAGAAAAATAAGGACGGAGCAGACGAAAGCTAAGTTCCCCTGCCCTCTGATTTTCATACCAAACATTAGGAGAGTTGATTCTTTCCTCTCCCTTACCTCACCTCCCTTCAAACCAAATACACTCTATAGCTTGTATAAAGAGACAGTGTGTGTACTTCACACCTAACATTTTGTCAAATGCTATCCATGTGAGGTTGAATTTTTTTATTTGCATCACAACTCACTTGTGTCATTATCTAAAACTTACTTAGGAGTCATCCTCTGTAAGCATTAATCCATTTTGAGAAGTGTTCTTAAAACTTTGTTTAGAGGCTAATGTACGAAATAATGCCACCTACGTCTAATGCTACAAACCATAATTTAGCAAAAGAGTTGAATTCTTGTTCAATAAAATTTGACCTCATTATTGTTCACCACCACATCGCACGTCAGGTATATTAAGATAAAGGCCATGATGGACTTCACATTAGTAGTTTCATACATTTATTTTATCTGGTATCAAATATTAAAAATACATAACAGTAACAAGAAATATTCATGATCTATAGGCAAAGGATGTTATGTTATCCTTGGTGAATGTTGTCCCTCAGAAGGCAATATTAGCTGAAACAGGTGAAGAGCTACTTGCTGGAGATGTCAAGTTGAACAGCATTCTCGCTGTTAAAGCTGGTGAGATAATACCTATTGATGGAACTGTTGTGGATGGGGAGTGCGAGGTCGATGAGAAAATCATAACTGGTGAATCGTTTCCCGTGGCTAAGCAAAAGAATTCAACAGTTTTGGCAGGCAGTATAAATCTCAATGGTAATGGATGATCTCCTTATCTAGTTATTTCTATCTCTAATTTTAGTTTTGAAGTCAACAATTTGCTAGCTCATACCTTTCATCCATCTACAGGGTACATTACCATTAAGACTACAGCTTTGGCTAAAGAATGTCTGGCGTCCAGAATGCCAAAGCTTATAGAAGATGCTCAAACAAATAAATCTAAAACCCAGAGATATATTGATCAAATCGCCAAGTATTATACACCAGGTTTGTACACAATAAGCAAAAAGTTTATAATGGAGGAGACTAGGAAAATTGACAGTAGTGAACAAAATACCTTTCTTTTTTACTCTGTCAATGTTTTCTTCAGTATTTTGCTTAATCTTTCTGTATTATAAACAGTTCTTCAATATTAAAAAATATCAAAAACTTGCTTGGAAAAGGACTATCACATTCGTGATCCGCTTTTTCTGTTTATACCCTAACTACTAATTGGTTATGTGCTTGCAGTGGTTGTTGCTGTTTTTATTGTTTTGGTGATACTTCCATCTGTACTAAGGCTTCATAATAGAAAGTGGTGGTACCACTTGGCGTTGGTCGTCTTAGTTAGTGCATGCCCATGTGCGCTGGTGTTGTCTACACCTGCTGCCATGTTTTGTGCACTTTCAATGGCAGCAACATCAGGTCTTCTGTTTAAAAGCACCGACTGCCTGGAAACTCTTGCTAAAATAAGGATAATGGCTTTTGACAAAACAGGGACTCTAACAAGGGGAGAATTTTCAGTAACGCAGTTCAAGACTTTTCTACAAGATGTTAACCATGATACTCTATTATATTGGTAAACACTACTAGTACTCCTTACCTTTCAAATAATAATATTCCCCATGAACTCTTACATTCAAACTAAGAAGGTTGTTTTAAAAATTCAGTTTTTGTGCAATGTAAATTTAAATTTGATATGGGTGCTTTAGTAATTTTTGGGCCTGAATCACTTTTAAATATATGCCTCTTTTGCCTTTTCATAGAGTAAACACATTTATGATGGACAAAATGGACCCCATAAGTGTTGGGCTTGAGGCTGTCACCTCACTATATAATTGCCTATTGGGATACTATGGGAAGTCATTTATATTAAAGAAAGTTTGTGCTATGTACAAGTATTATAAGTGGTGTATTTTGTGCTAAGTTGGTTAATAACAATTTCCAGGAAACTAAATCCACAAACTAATGTCTCGTGTGCATTTTGTTTCAGGGTATCCAGCATTGAAGCTAAGTCAAGTCATCCCATGGCTACTGCTCTGATTGATTATGCATGTTTACATTCAGTAGCGCCTAAGCCAGATAGAGTGGAGCAGTTTGAGAACTTTCCTGGTGAAGGAATATATGGAAGGATAGATGGAAGGGAAATCTTTATAGGGAACAAGAAAATTTTTTCAAGGGCGCAATGCAATACAGGTAAAAAGAAGCTTAACCTTTTCTCCAAACGAAAAACAAATAATGAACTACAAAGTGACCAATACTTGAAATGAAACACATGCACCTTTTTCCAAGGTCATCATTGGGACTGACACACACAAGCACATATAATATTACAAAGGAAAATAACCATCACCATTTGGTATGGTCAAACTAACCCCTTCAATTTTGACTGTGTTAAATCCTACCCCCTTTAGGTCTATTTTGAGTTAGTTTTGTAGTCTGTATTCCTGTTCTAATTTAAATAAATTGAAGTATGTACTAGACACTAATGAATTTCATGAGTTATCCTATTTGTAACGCTGGTAATAGCTGTGATTCTTAGTACAATTGATTCAAATTTAGGAACATGCTATTGCTAATGGATAAATAATGTTTGAGTGTAAAAGAAAAAAATACATGAAAAATGAGCTGAAATGTAATGATGGGGTAATAGATAATGAAGTCATAGATAAGAGCATGTAATTGTCATCTTATATTATATGTATCTAAAAATGATATACTAGCTAACGTTCTATCAGATGTTTAAATGTTTGATGATATATACTTCAAACTTTTTCAAGGGCGCAATGCAATACAGGTAAAAAGAAGCTTAACCTTTTCTCCAAACGAAAAACAAATAATGAACTACAAAGTGACCAATACTTGAAATGAAACACATGCACCTTTTTCCAAGGTCATCATTGGGACTGACACACACAAGCACATATAATATTACAAAGGAAAATAACCATCACCATTTGGTATGGTCAAACTAACCCCTTCAATTTTGACTGTGTTAAATCCTACCCCCTTTAGGTCTATTTTGAGTTAGTTTTGTAGTCTGTATTCCTGTTCTAATTTAAATAAATTGAAGTATGTACTAGACACTAATGAATTTCATGAGTTATCCTATTTGTAACGCTGGTAATAGCTGTGATTCTTAGTACAATTGATTCAAATTTAGGAACATGCTATTGCTAATGGATAAATAATGTTTGAGTGTAAAAGAAAAAAATACATGAAAAATGAGCTGAAATGTAATGATGGGGTAATAGATAATGAAGTCATAGATAAGAGCATGTAATTGTCATCTTATATTATATGTATCTAAAAATGATATACTAGCTAACGTTCTATCAGATGTTTAAATGTTTGATGATATATACTTCAAACTTTTTCAAGGGCGCAATGCAATACAGGTAAAAAGAAGCTTAACCTTTTCTCCAAACGAAAAACAAATAATGAACTACAAAGTGACCAATACTTGAAATGAAACACATGCACCTTTTTCCAAGGTCATCATTGGGACTGACACACACAAGCACATATAATATTACAAAGGAAAATAACCATCACCATTTGGTATGGTCAAACTAACCCCTTCAATTTTGACTGTGTTAAATCCTACCCCCTTTAGGTCTATTTTGAGTTAGTTTTGTAGTC